CGCCGGAAACGGGGGGACATCCCCGCCTCCGCCAGGGGAACCACCTCTGGGCGGTCCTCCGCCGCGTCGACGCCGTCGATCTGGGCTGCTTCCCCCTTCTCCACCAGGCGTAGAATATCCGTCGTCTTCAACGTAGGAATCGCCATCGTCAGCATCGTCGCCGTCGTCTCCGCCACCGCCGCCAGGCGGGCCCGAACCTGGGCGCGTGATCCCCGGCGCCTTCCGCGGAGGAGTCAACTCGTCACCCTTGCTTGTCCTTGGTCTTGAATATGCTCGGCAAGCTCCCCATCGGTGGCGGTGTGTATCCTGGGGCGATTGTAGCGGCATTGACTCGGGCTGCCATCGACTCCGCCCTTCCCGCGTCGGCAACGGCGTCGACCCTTGCCTCGCGAATTTCCTGGATCTTCACTTTTCGATCGGCACGCACCCTTGCTTGTTCTTCGTCGCGCTCCATGGCCTGCTCAAGGCGTTCCCGTAATTCCTCATTCTCGGCCCTCGCCGTCTCCTCAAGCTCGAGAGGCCTCTTAGATTCGGCGTCCTCGACTAGTCTTCCATCGCTCCCTGCGGCGCAGCCCCGGGCGCGGCGAGGCCGAAGTGAAGGGTCTCGAGAGGGGGCCCCCGGCACTGACGCAGCGACTTCATGTTCCTGGAGTTTCTTCCTGGCCTGTCTTCCTCGCATTCTTTCTTTTGGGGCCTTTCCTCTCTCGCGCCCCCCCTGGCTGCGGAGTTCCCCCCGTGGCGGCGCGCGCATCTCATCGCCCCTCGCGAAGTTGTCGTTGAAGCAGCACGTCTTGCACCTGGGGCAATCGTGATTCGCCACTTTGCCGCAAACGGAACACCGCAGACCCCCCGCATGGGGGTGCTGTCCTGGGCCCCCTCGCGCCGGGGGGCGCCCGGCCGCTGTCGGCGCCGGCGGTTGGGCCGCGGGCGCCGTCGCTGCACTCGCCTGGGCCGAAGAACCAGTGTCTGAGGCTTGCTGGCGAGGATGCCCCTTGTGGGTGCCATTGTATCTGATGTTGGTCAAGTTCGCGATATACGCAAGGCGTCGCGCTCTGCTTCCCATTTCCTCATCAGCTGGCCAGTCTCCATTTCCACCTGTGCTACTACGTTTTCTCAAGCAACCAGCTCGACTCTCCGCGACGCTTCGCGGGCTCGCAGTTTCTCGGCGTCGGATCGAGCATAGCTCTCATCCGCGGCGATTCGGGTCGACTCGGCCTGTTGCATGGCAGTGGCGGCTTTTGCCGCCAGTTGTGCGTCGCCGCTCTCAGCTGCCTGTAGTTCCACAGCTGCCCGCGTCGCCGTCACCCGCTGGGCCTCGTCGGCCCCCCGGGCCGCGCGTCTCGCCTCTTCCGCCGTGCGCTTCTCATGTAGGCGCGCCTGACGTTAAGAGTCAGCAGTGTTCTCGAGCCTGTGGCTAACTCTCGCACCTCAGCCGCCGCCGAAGCCTGATGGCGCCCCTCCAGAGCGCGCGCGGCGTTGGCCATGATCTCCCGATCCCTTTCCAACCGCAGGGAAGCAGCCCCCTGTTGCAAAATCTCGGCTTGCTCCAACCGCTCGCGCATCACCGCCAGATGTCGCCCCTTGGCCTCCATCATTTCGACCCTCTTCTGGCTCTCTGCTTCTCGCCGCTCGCCGGCCCGTAATCCTGCGCAGTTGTGCGACGTGGGAGCCGCGCAAGACGGGCAGAGGAACTTGGGGTTGCAGAGATCGCAGCCGTTCGAACATCCAAAGCAGACGGGCTTCCCACGCTGGCCAGACAGACCAGCGCACCGCGACGCAGGCACTCCAGCGCGCTCGAGGCCAAAGTTAGCACACTTGGCATTGATTCGCGTGCTAAGATTGCTTGACCTTCCCGACAGGTCAAGCAAATCCGACGCCTCTGATCGCGGCCTAGGAGCCCTGGGCCTGCCCCTCTCAGCGCTTCTCTTCCGCGGAGAGCGGGCGCGTAGACTCGGGGGTTCAAGCGTTGCGGTCCTCCCGGGGAGCCCCGGCGCATGGCTCCCAAGCTCCCCCCCAGAAAATGCATGGGTCCCCGCTCTGGGGCGCCGCCGGATATGCTTCGCTTTCCGAAGGGCTAGATAGCGGAAAGACTGATTGGCCCCCGTCTCTGTTTGTTCGTCGGTCGAACATCGTCGCCCGCGAAGTCTTCGTCCATCGCGTCCTCCAAGCGTCCTTCCAGGGGGCCGTCTGATGGGATTGCCTTGTCTTCACCGCGAAAAAATGGCAATCTGCTGCGATATGTGGCAGATCGCCCAGCGGAACGGCAAGCGCGGTATCATGGGCCCCGCGACCCCGTCGCGTTGCCCTTGGCTCTCGTGATCTCCGATCGGTGCTGGCGTTGATCTACGAGACAAGCTCTATTCTGATGATATCGTCTCTGCACCGTGGTCGTCGCTGGGAGGCCACTCGGAAGCGTCCGGCGGTCGTCGAGCGGGAGGAGGTAATCAACCTTGTCTTTCTTACCTAACAGCGAAGACTGATAGGTTTCTAGTGGTCTCGAAAGAGAGCATCATGACTCTCCAGGGGGGTCTGGGCAAATGCCGGACGGGTGCCGCGGGAATCCCGGGACTGCCGCGGGAATCCGGGGACTCTTTTTTTTACCCAGCAATAACGCAACTTCGTGGTCTTCGAGTTCCCAGAACTCCGCTCCTGGGTATGATTTTGAATGCCCGGAGCCAACTGTAGGCCACTTCGTGGTCTTCGAGTTCCCAGAACTCCATTCCTGGGTATGATTTTGAATGCCCGGAGCCAGCTGTAGGCCACTTCATGGTCTTCGACTTCCCAGAACTCCATTCCTGGGCATGATTTTGAATGCCCGGAGCCAACTGTAGGTCACTTCGTGTTCTTCGAGTTCCCAGGACTCCATTCCCGGCCCACATTTTGAATGATGAGGCAGGCTTGGGCTGAGGCTGAGGCAGGCTGAGGCTGAGGCAGGCTGAGGCTGAGGCCGAGGCTGAAGGCAGACTGAGGCTGAGGCTGAAGGCAGGCTGAGGCTGAGGCTGAGGCAGGCTGATGCTGAGGCAGGCTGAGGCTGAGGCTGAGGCTGATGCAGGCTGAGGCTGAGGCAGGCTGAGGCTGAGGCCGAGGCTGAAGGCAGACTGAGGCTGAGGCTGAAGCAGGCTGAGGCTGAGGCTGAGGCATGCTGATGAGGCTGAGGCAGGCTGAGGCTGAGGCTGAGGCAGGCTGAGGCTGAGGCAGGCTGAGGCTGAGGCCGAGGCCGACGGCATACTGAGGCTGAGGCTGAAGCAGGCTGAGGCTGAGGCTGAGGCAGGCCGAGGCTGAGGCCGGGGCTGAAGGCAGACTGATGCTGCGGCTGAAGCAGGCTGAGGCTGAGGCTGAGGCTGAGGCTGAGGCAGGCTGATGCTGAGGCAGGCTGAGGCTGAGGCTGAGGCTGATGCAGGCTGAGGCTGAGGCAGGCTGAGGCTGAGGCCGAGGCCGAAGGCATACTGATGCTGAGGCTAAAGCAGGCTGAGGCTGAGGCTGAGGCAGGCTGAGGCTACAGGCTGAGGCAGGCTGATTCTGGGTAGGCTGAGGCTGAGCAGTCCGGAGGCTGAGCCGAGGCCTGAAGGGCAGCCGATGCTGAGGCTGAAGCGGCTGAGGCGAGCCTGAGGCTGAGCTTGAGGCTGAGGCAGCTGAGTCCTCAGGAGCGCCTGGCTGGCTGAGCTGAGGCTGATGCAGGCTGAGGCTGAGGCAGGCTGAGGCTGAGGCCGAGGCTGAAGGCAGACTGAGGCTGAGGCTGAAGCAGGCTGAGGCTGAGGCTGAGGTTGAGGCAGGCTGAGGCTGAGGCTGAGGCAGGCTGATGCTGAGGCAGGCTGAGGCTGAGGCTGAGGCTGAGGCAGGCTGAGGCGGAGGCAGGCTGAGGCTGAGGCCGAGGCTGAAGGCAGACTGAGGCTGAGGCTGAAGCAGGCTGAGGCTGAGGCTGAGGCAGGCTGAGGCTGAGGCTGAGGCAGGCTGATGCTGAGGCAGGCTGAGGCTGAGGCTGCGGCTGATGCAGGCTGAGGCTGAGGCAGGCTGAGGCTGAGGCCGAGGCTGAAGGCAGACTGAGGCTGAGGCTGAAGCAGGCTGAGGCTGAGGCTGAGGCAGGCTGAGCCTGAGGCTGAGGCAGGCTGATGCTGAGGCAGGCTGAGGCTGAGGCTGAGGCTGATGCAGGCTGAGGCTGAGGCAGGCTGAGGCTGAGGCCGAGGTTGAAGGCAGACTGATGCTGAGGCTGAAGCAGGCTGAGGCTGAGGCTGAGGCAGGCTGAGGCTGAGGCAGGCTGAGGCTGAGGCTGAGGCAGGCTGAGGCTGAGGCTGTGACTGCGACTGCCGTTGCCACTGCTCATCGCGAATGCGACTACGACTGCGAGAACAGCAGAATTCTACAGCTGGATTCTCATCTGAATAGTAAGGGGAATGCTTCCATATATGTTCCTACACATCGCTGTTAGGTTGCTTTGCCGGGATTATTTTTCTTATTATTCTTCATGTCCTTGCTGAGAGATGGCCTTGCTCTTGGGCCTCGGCGTACTTGGGCGGGATTATTCGAGAGCGTTTCCTGAAGTTCGGCGATGACGGGCGTCATGGGGGGGGGGGCAGGGGGGGGCATGGCGCAACGCACCCCCCCGCCGCGCGGCTCCGGCACCGCAGCCGCGCCCGCGCGCGCGACGCGACGAGCGACGAGCGACGACGACGACGACGACGCGAGCAGCATGTAGGTGGCGATATGCCCCACCGCACCTGTGTACGCCACAACGCCCGCGTGCAACACTTCGCGCGCGCGTGTAAATCACAGCGCCTGCGTACCCCGCAACAACCGTGTGCAACGCAGCGCCTGTGTACACCACAGTGTTTGCGTACACTACAGCGGCGGTGTACATGTGTACACCGCAACTACCATTATTTTGTTTTGCCTGCGCGGCGGGCAGGCGGGAAGGCTCCAAGAGTCAGCCCCCCCCTGTCTGCGTGGCGCCTCTGGGCCCTCGGCGAAAGACCGAGGCTCGGCACCACGGAAGGCAAGTCGGCCTACGCAGAGGCCACCGAGCTCGAGAGGCCAGCCACCTCTCCAGCTGCAGCGTCGGGGAGGTGCGCACCACTGGTCGGGTGCACCCCTCGGCGAATTCTGTCGCCCCTGAGGCGGCGGATGCGGCCTGCATCTCCTTCGCCTGGGACGCACATGCCCGAGAGCGCCTTGAAGGAGCCAAGGCGCTCACGTGCGTACGCGTTGCACCTGTTGCAGACGACGTAGCCGTGGCACCGCTGCAGCACATGCCCGAGCTCGTCATGCTCAGCGGACAGAGCGGGCGGCTCAGCGGGAGCCGAGGGACCCGCCCGTTCGGCAGACACCTCGGCGGGAACCAACGGCGCACTGGCGACGCTGCGCACTGCACGCTCACGAGGGGACCGCGACCTGTCGCCGCTGCCTCCGACGGCGCCAGCGCGAGAACGGTTCGCCCTGCGCTCCCTCGATGCAGCCATGAGGAGGTCGGCGGCACTCGAGGGCTGGCGCTCCTCAGCGGCGGGCCTCGCGCTGGAGCCCGCGGGGGGGCCCGCGAGGCCTGCGAGGCACTCGGCGGGCGGGGCCGCTCGCGGCGGCGGTGCTGCTGGGGTCGCCGCCGCCGCCCTCGGCGCTGCCACCTCCACCGTGTCCCCCAGCAGTGGCAGCCGTAATGGCGGCGGCCGCCAACGCAGCACCCGCAGCAGCGCTGGAGGCGGGGGCCCGCCTGGCCCCTGAGGCCACCGCCTTGGGCTTGCACGGGCCCCTGAAGAGCACCTGCTTGGACTTCTCGGTGCGCGCCGTCTTGAGGCACGCCTGGCAGTGCCACGAGCCGTCGGCCTGCGTCGCGAAGACATGGCTCGTGAGGCTGAGGCCGATGCGGTTGCCGAGGTCGCGCTGCGCGTAGCCTTGAGCGCTGTCGTCCCTGGCGGCCCCCGCTGGCGTGCCGGCCTTGGCCAGCCAGCGCGCAACACCGTCCACAATGACGACAGCCTGCTTGCTTCTCAAACTCGCCTCGGGAAGGGGTCCGAGCGCCGCGGCGATGCCACCTGCCACGAGGTCCGCCTCGTAGTTGCCGCGCCTCTGCTTGAGCGTGATGGCGCCCTCCCGAACTTGGCGAAGGGTCGCGTGGCCAGGCACCTTGACCACCGCGAGGCCGTGGTCCGAGAGGCCGCCGAAATCGTCGAGGGCCGCCCGCGCCAGCCGCCACAGGTGCCCCCACGCGGAGGACGCGATGGTGGTGCGCTCAGCACCTCTAAGGTTGAGGCCGTCCACCACGAAGCTGGCGTCGCAGTGCAGGACAATGGGCGGGATGGAGTGCCGCAGCACGATGAGCACCGACAGCAGCTCCGAGCCCTCGATGCTCTGCCACGGGCCGACGAGCGGCGAACCAAGCGCCTTGGTCCTGCTGCCAGGCCCTGGGTCGGTGCTGTCGCTGACGGGCGGCAGCTCGACCACCGCCGCTGCGCCTTGGGCGCCCCGCCCACCAGCAAGTGCGGCGCCGTGCAGAGCGCCGTCGCAGTACAGGGACTGGCCGCAGAAGGGCTCGCCTGGCTCGCCGCAGCACCAGCGCAGATGGTCCAGGAAGCCGCCTGCAGGTGGCCGCCACTGCAGCCAGGGGATCGGGAAGAGCAGCCTCTCGACGAGCATCCTGATCACCTGGTTGTCGCGCTGCGCCAGCAGGAGCGCCATCTCCCGCGGCAAATCTCCTCCATCAGGTAGACGAGTGAGGGCCTGGCACTCGAGATGCCTGTGCCAGATGTCGCCCCGCTGCCCTGGGCAGGGCTCGCAGAAGTCCGAGGAGGCATACCTCGGGTTGTTGCCGAACTTCCTGACGTTGGTCCACTGGCCGTTCACGATGCACGACCTGAGGTAGCCGCGCTCCTCGTTGGTGGCGGTGGGCCAGCTCCTGCCCACCGTCGATGAGGGCCGTCCTCGGTCGACCCACTTCCGCAGCTGCCCGAAGTTAACGCCGACGGCCAGCCATGGGGCGTCGTGCTCGCTCAGCTGGCGGGCCTGCCAGTCCTCGCAGCTGCGCCGAAGGAGCTTCTTGGTCAGCCACGGGCTGGTGTCGCCGATGCAGTGGACGTCGCCCGCGTCGGAGGTCCACTTGTCCAGCTGCTCGCACTGCCATCCGACGCGCCGCAGGGATAGGACGGCTGCGGAGATTGGCCCGCGGGCCTGACTCCTCAGGCCGACGTGGCGGACCGCAGCTGCAAAGGCCGTATCCAGCGCCTTCTTGGGCAGCCACTGCTCCCAGACGGCTCGGTGCAGCGTGCTGATGGGGTCGAGCGTGGCCTTGACGATGGGGTCGCAGTCGGCTCCGATGAGGGCCAGGACCGCGGTGGCGCTCTTACCCGCGGGCCGCAGCTCGATGGCCTTCACGGCCATGGTTCTGGCCTGCTGAAGCTCGACGTCGCTTAGGCCCGTGCAGCACACCCCGCGCGCGTAGCTGGCCTCCAGCCCTGCCACGCGGGCTGCGATCCTGCGGCGACGCGCGGGACCGAGGGGGCGGCGAAGCCTCGGCACTCGCCGCGAGGCCTGCTTGAGCCGCCTCTTGCGCACGTTCCTGGGCATCTTGGTGCCGACGGCGAAGTCCACGCCCAGGTTGCGAGCTCCTCGAGCCGCGCGCGCCTTGGTAGACGCGGCCAGCCTGCCCTCGAGGTCCTTGGCCAATTGGCGAGCCGGCGAGGAGCACCGACTTCTTGGTAGCCACGACGATGTCCACCTTGCGCAGCTCCTTGACCACGCTGGTGACGCTGGCCACGATGGAGTCGGCCACCCGCTTGCCGCCTCCGACCCGCTGGAAGACGAGGTCGTCGACGACGACCGACGGCGCGATGCTCGGCGATGCGCGGACCGCGCGGTCGAGCGGCGTGAGCAGGACCAGCTTCATGAACGTGGTGGCCCACATGTCGCCCGCCAGGACCGCCTGGTCTGTCACGATGAGGTCCGAGACAGCTCCGCGGAGCTCGAGGGCACGCGGAGCTCGGTAGAGAGAGATCTGGAGCTTGACTACCCAGAGGGGGAAGCCGTGCTCGGCCGCCGAGTTAATGACATGCCGGTGCCCGATTTGCTCGAAGGCCTTCCATAGGTCGAGCACCGCGGCGGCAGAGTGCCAGTCCAGGTCGGGCTGCTCGTCGCGCCTGGCCTTCAGCCACTCACTCCATACGAGCTGCTGCCACACAGCTCGCTCACAGGACTTGCCTGCCGTAGCCCACCAGAAAGCCCGCGGATGGGCGGCCTCCCAGTCACGGGCCAGGCCGCGGCGAAGGCGCCCGTGCACGCGCACGAGCGCCGCGAGGAGGGCGATCGGCCTGACGCCGCCCTCCCGCTTGGCAATGAAGACCAGCTTCGTGATGAAGTTGGGCCAGCAGCACTCGAGCTCAACCCTCTCCAGGAGGGCTGCGATGGCCTCCACGCCGTCGTCGCCAAGGGCATCGAAGTGGCGCGGGCAAGAGGTGTCGAACGACGTGCCCGCGGCCTGCGGGAAGGACGTGAAGACCTTGCGCAGCTCCGCGACGGTGGGGCGCGGCGGCCTGGCGCCGAGGCCTCCATCAGGCCAGACCAGCTCTGCCGTCGTCCTCCCAATGTTCCAGTGGCGCGACCACTCCTCGACGAGGAGCTGCACCGCCTGCATCTGGCCCGCTGGCGTCGGAACGGGGTTGCCCTCCGCCCCGCTGCCGCCGTCGTCGCACGCGGAGCTTGGATGCCACTGCATGGGCTCCTTAGTGAAGGCGTGCAGCGCACTGCCTCCGAGCAAGGCCTGCTGCTCGATCCAATCGCCGAACCTGGCCTTGGCCCGCCTGATCGCGGCGGCGACGAGCATGTCGCCCACCTCGTCCACCAGCATCGCGACAGCGCGGAGGGCGGCGCTCGGCATGTAGTCGAGGGCGCTGCACTGGATGGCAAGCGCGTTGCCGAGGCGGCTCTGCTGCTGGCCTCCGTCGGCGTGCTGGACGTAGCGGTACCAGGCGCGCCGCAGGCGGCTGATCTGCTGCCGACCACGCTCATGGGCCCCGATGACGTCCAGGGAGGAGGCGTGCTTGGCGACCATGGCCCACTGCTTGATCCAGCACGTCTGGATGTCCAGCCTGGGGTAGCGCGGCATCTTGGGCACGCTGGCGCAAACCCAGCGGAGCCTGGGAGGGGTCGCTCGCCCCCTATAGAGGTCACCGTGATCATTGAGGCCGCGGCGGTCAATCAACTCGTCCTCAGCGACACTGATGATGGCTTGCCACGCATCGTCGACGGTCGGGGCGAGCGGCACTGCTTGCTGCACAGCGGCCCAGGCTGGGCCGAAGTC